TACTGTCATTAGCTTTTATAGAGGTGATCAGCTTAATCCCACACTAGTTATTCATTCTTCGATCCATGCCCATTGGCAGGGTCGCTGGTTTTCTGTTACTGGTAACAAGCTGCGTGCTCTTAAAGGTAATGTGTTTCCATGGCCTTCCTTCCTACCACCGTAATCGGTGGTGGAAGCGGTAGTGGTGGTGGAAACGGCTCTGGCAAGGTTACATATTGGCCATACTTGTTTAACTCACGAGCACCGAATGGAGCATCACCCTGCTCCTTATTGTCCGAACTGCATTGTCCCTCTTACGGTTGTGCATGTCTTTGTTGAATGTTCCGATTTCCAGGATGTGCGTGTGTCTTGCTTCCCGATTGTTCCTCGCGGTCACCTTTCCCTCGATAGTATCCTTGGTGAATCGGATGCCTTTGATGTTGTTCACCTTATGCGCTTTTGTTCACACTTAATCCTTAGTGATATTTAGCGCCTTTTGAATATTCTGCACTTTTGACGGTGATACATAGCCTCCCTGGCTTGGTACCTTCTTTTGATAATTACTTACTTAATCCCACTGGTGCACAGGAAACTCATATGAATTGATAATATTTTATTTAACCCAACATCACAAAAAAAAACTTGCATCTATAATAATAATAATAATAATTTTTATTTAGGTAAAGGTACATACATAAAGAGATTTTACAAAGTTTGTTGGCTTTATAGATAGAGCTAGTACATACAATGCCTAAAGCCACTATTACGCAAAGCGTTTCGGGCAGTAAATCTACATTTACTTCATGCACAATACCCCACAGGCAGGAGTAAGACTTACAAATGCAATACTATAGGTATTGACTACATACTACAGCCTCTGAAGGAGACATATACTTGGACTTTTCCCCCATAACCCCAGTACACATTGATCCTCACTGATCTTAACAGCATACAATACAATAAAAGTTTGTTAGAGCCAGAGTTGCATGATAATTCTTCAATAATAAAATGAGAATGGTGGCCGCCACGTTAATTGAGAGTACAGGAACTTAAAAGAAATTCCCTCACGCCCTCGGGTCACGTCCAGTCCGGATCATTTGCAAATCAGCAATCCTTTCTCTTTCCCACGATACCATAAGCAACCCAAATATACTGTAATTGTTCATTTTACACAACATTAAACAACCACCAAACTCTAAAGTATTTACAATGTATGATATACCATTTTAGCTGTTTTCTGTGGGGAGCCCCGGAGGCTCCCTGGAGCTTATCGGGCTAATGTATGTTATATAAGACCGGGACATTGGCTAAGGAGTTCAGACCTACCAGGGACCACCGCCAGAACCTGGCCCCTTCAGAGAGGTTTCAGGGAGCAATGGCCCTGGAAAATCCCCTTGTGGTTGGGGTTCTCCTTATCTGCCATCGACCGCGGTCAGGCACCCAGAAAGGTAGGCATAACAAAACAAACACCACATGGCAAAAAACTAAAATAAAAAACGAAGAGAGGTAGAAACTCCCTACAATCCCAAGGAAACAAGCAAACATCACACTTCACTGCCGCGCCGATCGTCCGCGCAGCCCTCCCCGCCCCGAGAGGGGAAGGGGGGGGGGGGAGCCCAGGACCAACCGCGCCGGCTGCCAAGCTTCAGTTCGTAAGCTAATGTCAACTGGGATAGACGCTTCTCTAGCCTCAGCTTCCTAGGCGGTGTTTGCCTTATGTGGCGTTCACTGCTGTGTGTTGTGTTGGGCGGTGGCCAGGAGTACCTCATCAGTGCCGGGGCTGCATGCACTTAGTGGCTGACTTCCCTAAGCGCCCTGTGAGTACTGCCCTTGCGTAACAGGGTTATCTTCCCTGGGGCGTTCGGGAACCATTCCCGTAGAGGTTCTTGCTGCTCGGAATTTGCCTCGCCCTTGGGGCCAGCTGGGGCTTGGGGCCCTTGTTTGGCCCTGAGTAGGGATTGGTATTGTGCTGGTTAGGGCGTCAATTAAGGTGTTGCACGGCCTGCCACCTAAGCACCGACCGGTTCCTGTTGCCTCTGGAGACGGTGTACTTTTGCGGGGTTTTTCTTTTGTTTTATATTCATGCCTGGTGGGGGTCTGCCTAGTGTGGCTATAGTTCCACTGGTAGTGTTTGTTGGCCCTCTGCTAGGCCCCCATGATTGTACACGTCGCAGGGATTTTCAGTGTTATCCTCTACCCTCTTATTATGTTTGGGTTTCTTAACCGGTTAGCAACACCTTGCCCGGGCTTCCCGTAGCAGTCAGCCTACGGGCCCTGGAAACCCCTGTCTGGGCTCAGTGGACCATTGAATGTGTCTTCCGGGTTCCAACCCGTCTTGTACGGGATCGTTGGTTGCTGTGCCCTTGTCTCCGGGTGACAGTCGCCACTTTCACCTCCCTCATGTTACCCGTTGGGTCACTGACACCTTGACCCGGAGTCTTGCTAGAGAGATTCTCTGTTTGTTCTCCAGTACTCTCCTGATGTTATTACTGTTCAGAGTACAGGCGGCATCCGTGTTGCAAGCTAGGCTAGGTTGCTGCAACACCCTCGGTTGGTTTCCACTCGGATGCACCGAGGCCGCCCCGTTTTGGTTAGGTGCTGTTCGCCCCTTTCCCTCCCTGTTCCCGGCTCCTGACCGTCTGCGGGTTTCAGGGTCGGGGCGGGGTTTAGTTGGGGCCGAGACTCGGGCGGTTTTCGGGGGCTGCCCTGTTCGGGTTGGGGGACGGAGGTTTTCGAGCCTGTTCCTCCTGCCAAGGCTTCTGGGTCTTACCAGCGGCCCTTTCTTGCTGCCTTTCCCATGGACTCTTGCTTTTCCTTAAGGGCGGAGGGCTTGGAGGACGGCTCTGCCCCCGGGGCCTCTGTTGCTGGTTCCCAGGGCTGTGGGGGATGCCTGCTAGCAGTTCTGGGGCGGTTTGCTCCTGCCTGGGTTTTCTGCTTTTGGGCGGAGTTTTTCGCCCATCCAGTCTGCTTGCTTCATACTTTTGCTGGCGTGTTTTCGTATCTTTAGCGTCGGTCACAGCCCTCTGTTCGGGCGGCCATTTTCGTCTGCCGGTTTCCCAGCGTGGCCACCGGGGCGGCGTTGCGGTTTGTTTACATGCACCTGGGTGTGCGAGCGAGCTTCTTGGGTGAGTTTTCACCTTTTTTCAGGGACTCCTGGTTCAACCTTGAGGCCGAACAGACGTCTGGACTCCTCCTCCGCCTGGGTGCCGCCTGATCACGTCTTGTTTTCGCGTTTTGGCTTTGCTACTGCCGTTTGGCATCCCTTTTCAGCGGTCCAATTGTACGACGCCTGGCGCACATATCGCCTTTGGTCACAGGCTTGTTGATAGATTTTTTTTTGACGTGTACTAGCTGGTTCTCCTGGCGGAGTGACGGTGTTCGGGGGCCGGCTTGGCCGAGAGGTGCCGGGGGTTGGCGGGTCTTGGTGGGCTCCTGGTGTGTCCTCACTCGTGGTGGGCTCCTGGTGTGCCCTCACTCGTGGTGGGCGGCCGGCTTCTGCTCTGCCAGGGGGACACTGGATGACTTTTTGCATTTTAGTTGGGGGCAGGGTTTTGGTTTTGCTACCTGGTGTTTTCTGTGTGGAGCGGGACCGGTGCTTGTCACCCTGAGGGACTCCTGGGGCTCCCCAATCATCTGCCTGACTGTGCGTTTATTTGCCGTATGGCATATTAGTTTCTAGTGATTGGCGTCACTCGTTTTGCGATTTGGCTTGGCGTTTCACCTCTCCAGGCTTCGCGATTCACCCTTAACGGGTACGCCGGGGCGCGTACCCGTTTTTTCAAAGTAAACTTCTACATGGGTACCATTGAGCAAAAAGTCTTAGTCGACATGAACTTGAAACCGGCCATATACTGCAGGTATGTTGACGACATTTTTACACAGGTACCTGATGTCAGACATCTGCAGGAGCTGAAGGAGGCATTTGAGCAGAGTTCTGTGTTGCATTTCACTTACGAGATGGAGAAGGATGGGAAGCTGCCCTTTCTAGATGTAACAGTCATGGAAAGGAGCGGAGTTTTCCACACTGCAGTCTACACTAAGGAAACAAACATAGGAATGTGTCTGAATGCCAACAGTGACTGCCCAGACAGGTAAAAGAGGAGTGTTGTTAACGCTTATGTCGACCGTGCTCTTAGCCACAGCTCAGAATGGAAGCAAGTCGACGAAGAACTCTGTAGGGTAAGGCAGGTCCTAGTCAACAACGGCTTCTCCAATGGTTTCGTGGAAGACATCATAAGAAGGAAAGTGAAACGCCATGCAACCTCTGAAGAGACAACTAACACAACACCTATACCCCCTATTAGACTATTTTACAGGAATTTCTTTTCCACAGCTCATAAAACGGAGGAAAGGGTCCTGAAAGATATTGTTAATAGAAACGTTATCCCTACAGGCAAAAATCAGAAGATACAACTGACGATTTACTATAAAACCAAAAAAACGACCAGCCTACTCATGAGAAACTCTCCAGACACAAAGCAGAATGCTTTAAAAGAGATCAACGTCGTCTATGCCTTCAAATGCCCTCTTGGGGACTGTAAGCCTCAAAAAACTCAGTATATAGGCAAGACAACAACATCTCTTTCCAGGCGTTTAACGATGCTTAACGTTTTTTCTCTTGTAATGTATCTTTATCATTTATCAATTCTGATTGAAGGCTGAGAAGTGCGTTCTGGCTACTAGGTACGACATATGTATATATATATATATATATATATATATATATATATATATATATATATATATATATATATATATATATATATATATATATATATATTGTACAATTTGGGCTGTATGAGTACAAATCTTGGTGACGGAATAACATGTTGAAGGGTGACTCCATACACAGCTTGAAATGTAAGACATGAGACAACGTCAAGACTCCGGGAAGGTGTACATGTTTGAGTTAAGTGAAGTACAACTAGGTGAGTGTGGCGGCCGGGGTGCCGCCAACAAGGGGCGGGTGGAGGGGAGCGGGATGAGGTGTGAGACAGTGCCAAGGCTCTCCCCCCTCATCCCTTTCCCGTGTGTGGTGGCACCCAGTTACTCCGACAACACCAGAGTGCCAGGGAGTGTCACCAACGCCTTGAGCCCACTTAACCTCTACAGTGATCACTTGTTATAGTGGTTGACTCTCACGTAAACAAACTCGGTTGCTTATATATAGGTAGGTTTATGGTGTTTACTCTTATATAATACTTTTTTGAATAGGAAACCATATTTAAGCAAATTATCATAAATAGTACTCTAAAGAGTCAGTCGGCGATGTGCTTAAAAAGTGTGTCATGTTTCATCTATTAAAAACTCTCCCGCTCAGCGAGTTGATATGAAAAGCTGCCAAATCGAACAGAGGAGTCAAATGTTTTTTTTTAAATGTTACAAAATGAGACAAATAAAGAGATTATTCCAGTGGTGTAAGGAGATAGGCGCCAGTTAATTGTCTCGAGCTTGCGTAGGCTGAGCGCCGAGCAGGCGTCCCCGCCAAGCTCCCACACACACACCACCTTCACTACTCAAGTGCCACGGTGTAACTACTTCAGGTTAACTGGTGGTAGTTGTCATCGAAGTTGCCTTTCTTTGGCTACCAATCTTGCTACAAGTTACCTGCTTGATTGAGTCTTTTCTTTTGTTGTGTACGCCTGTACCAGGGGCGGTGTGCTCGTACACCTGTCCCGGGGGCGGTGTGCTCATACACCTGTCCCGGGGGCGGTGTGCTCGTACACCTGTCCCGGGGGCGGTGTGCTCGTACACCTGTCCCGGGGGCGGTGTGCTCGTACACCTGTCCCGGGGGCGGTGTGCTCGTACACCTGTCCCGGGGGCGGTGTGCTCGTACACCTGTCCCGGGGGCGGTGTGCTGGTACACCTGTCCCGGGGGCGGTGTGCTCGTACACCTGTCCCGGGGGCGGTGTGCTCGTACACCTGTCCCGGGGGCGGTGTGCTCGTACACCTGTCCCGGGGGCGGTGTGCTGGTACACCTGTCCCGGGGGCGGTGTGCTCGTACACCTGTCCCGGGGGCGGTGTGCTGGTATACCTGTCCCGGGCGCGGTGTGCTGGTACACCTGTCCCGGGGGCGGTGTGCTGGTACACCTGTCCCGGGGGCGGTGTGCTCATACACCTGTCCCGGGGGCGGTGTGCTCGTACACCTGTCCCGGGGGCGGTGTGCTCGTACACCTGTCCCGGGGGCGGTGTGCTGGTACACCTGTCCCGGGGGCGGTGTGCTGCTACACCTGTCCCGGGGGCGGTGTGCAGGTACACCTGTCCCGGGGGCGGTGTGCTGGTACACCTGTCCCGGGGGCGGTGTGCTGGTACACCTGTCCCGGGGGCGGTGTGCTCGTACACCTGTTACCGCATCAAGCAGATTTATGTGGGTATTTCTGGATTGTATATAATTTGCCTAACAATACCATAGTTGGTGTAAGTTGAGTGATGGAGTTTCCATATATGGCTTAATTAAGTTGCCTGGTTTTGTTGCTAAGCGTGGTGTAAGTTGTTTGGTGACACCATAATTGGTTTTAGTGTTCTGGTAGTAGAGTCGGGTTCGTTCTCGACTCACAATCCAACAGTCCGTCCTCACAAACAAAGGCCAAAGTCCATTTCATCCACCCGCCACACCCCCTGTTTATGCAACCCGTCCTCAGACTAAGTCCATTCCATTCAGCGGTCGACCTGAAAGCCCGTCCTTTAATCTAACTGAGGTTAAACACATCAAAAAGTCAACACCAGCAAGCAACAGCCAATTAATGCACAACTATATTCTACCCACTTCAAGACCCCGAACCAATATAGAAGCAGCAAGAGGAAGTATGGGCCAATAGGCCTTCTGCAATTACTTCCATTCTTATGTTTTCATACCCATTGTTTCGTGTTCTGTCTTGTGTTTGTCACCTCACCCAAAACTTTTGTGCCATATCACCTCACCCAAAACGAGTATAAGTATGATGAATTTTTATGTGTAAACTAAGTTTTTGAAAATATAATATGTTTAATGCTCAGTTAGCTTAAAGTATAATATGTTTAAGCTCAGTTAGCTTAAAGGACGAGCTTTCGGGTCGACCGCTGAATGGAATGGACTTAGTCTGTTGAAATTACCTACTTAAAATTATCTGCTAGATTAAGGACCTGCCCGAAACGCTGCGCGTACTAGTGGCTTTACAAGAATGTAAATACTGTACTATCCAATGTATTCTCACAAACCCAATGTACCTTCTTGTATATATATAAATAAATAAATAAATAAATAAATAAATAAATAAATAAATAAATAATAAGAATTACGAAAAGCGTTCAGGCGTCAGACCAAGAATAAAAATGAATTTTGGAGACCTGATATTTCAATTATCCTCAACAGTGAAGAGAAACATAAGACATATTGAGAAAATTCGTGTTAGAATTATTAATCTTACCTTTTCGGTCATCTTCAACAACATATGTTTACAAGAAAGACTACTAACAATATATATATATATATATATATATATATATATATATATATATATATATATATATATATATATATATATATATATATATATATATGTCGTACCTAGTAGCCAGAACGCACTTCTCAGCCTACTATGCAAGGCCCGATTTACCTAATAAGCCAAGTTTTCCTGAATTAATATATTTTCTCTAATTTTTTTCTTATGAAATGATAAAGCTACCCATTTCATTATGTATGAGGTCAATTTTTTTTTATTGGAGTTAAAATTAACGTAGATATATGACCGAACCTAACCAACCCTACCTAACCTAACCTAACCTATCTTTATAGGTTAGGTTAGGTTAGGTAGCCGAAAAAGTTAGGTTAGGTTAGGTTAGGTAGGTTAGGTAGTCAAAAAACAATTAATTCATGAAAACTTGGCTTATTAGGCAAATCAGGCCTTGCATAGTAGGCATAGAAGTGAGTTCTGGCTACTAGGTACGACATATGTCTATATATATATATATATATATATATATATATATATATATATATATATATATATATATATATATATATATATATATACATAATATAGGCGATGTAATTAAGTTACCTGCTGACACCATATATAGTTGGTTCACGTTACCTGGGGCTTATTACCATAGTTGATACAAATTACCTGATATACAAATAATATTTCTGGCACTAATATTTACATATAATGTAGGAGGCACTCCGCTGGGCGGCGAGCCATAGTGACTGGTGGAGGCCAGACACCCGCATCTTTACCGTCTTCCTGAACCAATTGTTCCCCCTCCATCACCCCCCACCCGACCACTTGAGTCACATACATAATAGACTAATCAAAATCTATGTAGTTTGGGGTCTGTTATGAATTAACTAGATTAAAAAAACACTAGTACAACACAAACTGGACTATAAATATTTGATGGTGTTGTGAAATTAAACATTGTCTGGTGAAGTAAAATTTAATTTAACTTGCATAACTAAAAAAAATTAAGGTTAGGTTCTTGAGTTGTGTGTGTGTAGCCACCTAGTTGTGTTTGCGGGGGGTTGAACTTTGGTTCTTTGATCCCGCCTCTCAACTGTCAATCAACTTGTGTACAGATTCCTGAGCCTACTGGACTCTATCAAATCTACATTTGAAACTGTGTATGGAGTCAGCCTCCACCACATCACTTCCTAATGCATTCCATCTGTTAACTACTCTGACACTGAAAAAGTTCCTGTGTGTGTGTGTGTGTGTGTGTGTGTGTGTGTGTGTGTGTGTACTCACCTAGTTGTGTCTACAGGATCGAGCATTGACTCTTGGATTCCGCCTTTCGAGCATCGGTTGTTTACAGCAATGACTCCTGTCCTATTTCCCTATCATACCTGGTTTTAAAATTATGAATAGTATTTGCTTCCACAACCTGTTCCTGAAGTGCATTCCATTTTCCCACTACTCTCACGCTAAAAGAAAACTTCCTAACATCTCTGTGACTCATCTGAGTTTCAAGCTTCCATCCATGTCCCTTCGTTCTGTTACTATTCCGTGTGAACATTTCGTCTATGTCCACTCTGTCAATCCCTCTGAGTATTTCATACGTTCCCATCATGTCCCCCCTCTCCCTTCTTCTTTCTAGTGTCGTAAGGCACAGTTCCCTCAGGCGCTCCTCATACCCCATCCCTCGTAGCTCTTGGACGAGTCTCGTTGCAAACCTCTGAACCTTTTCCAGTTTCATTATATGCTTCTTCAGATGGGGACTCCATGATGAGGCGGCATAACTCTAAGACTGGCCTCACGTAGGCAGTGTAAAGCGCCCTAAATGCCTCCTTACTTAGGTTTCTGAATGATGTTCTAACTTTTGCCAGTGTAGAGTACGCTGCTGTCGTTATCCTATTTATATGTGCCTCAGGAGATAGATTAGGTGTTACGTCCACACCCAGGTCTCTTTCGCGCGTCGTCACAGGTACGCTGTTCCCCTTCATTGTGTACTGTCCCTTTGGTCTCCTATCTCCTAGTCCCATTTCCATAACTTTACATTTGCTCGTGTTGAATTCCAGTAGCCATTTCTCTGACCATCTCTGCAACCTGTTCAGGTCCTCTTGGAGGATCCTGCAATCCTCATCTGTCACAACTCTTCTCATCAACTTTGCGTCATCCGCAAACATCGACATGTAGGACTCTACGCCTGTAAACATGTCGTTAACATATACAAGAAATAGAATTGGTCCCAGCACCGATCCTTGTGGTACTCCACTTGTTACTGTTCGCCAGTCCGACTTCTCGCCCCTTACCGTAACTCTTTGGCTCCTTCCTATTAGGTAGTTCCTTATCCATGCTAGGACCTTATCCAGGCTAGGTGTGTGTGTGTGTGTGTATGCGTGCGCGCATGTGTGCATGCGTGCGCGCGTGCACGTCCGTCCGTACGCACTTCTTCGCTGCCACTCACTGTACGGTATCCGGTGACGACTAACCGAACGAGCAACAGCACAGGTAGTTACTAGTAAGAGATCTAACAACAATCGTGTTCATCATATAATACCGATAATATTGGCAGTGGAAATAAAATGTATTCACACAAGATTCGAGCACAAGTGTGGAATGTTGTAACTGAGGCTCGTATCTGTGAAGGATACCAGGAGTCCGTTCTGAAATGCCAGTTTGCATCCTCTAGCCCATCAACCCGAACATGTACATGTTTGCTGCATGAAACATGTTTGTTGCAATGTTGCACTGTCAACACCGTGATGTGGAATCTACACGTCTATATTAATTACGTTGATATTAAAATCACTACTTCATCAGTAGGCATCCATCAGTCTCAGGTGACTGATGGATGACACCACTACTACTAATCAGTGAAAACTTGAGAAGCTTGCAGGTGATGAGGATGAACCCCGATATATGCTACAGATGATTTTGCACCCACCCACATGCAAATAAAACCATGAAATCACCTGATGAGTTAGCCAAAGAATCTGCCTTTAAAGGAGAAATTGAGTGTAACCTTGGATTGTCAATAAGCAGTCTAAGAGCTGCTTATTGACAGCTCTCTGTGTGCTCTCGGTGTACTCTCAGGAGTCTGAGAGTACACCGATAAATGAATAATGAATATTATTTGTTCATAATAAATGAACTAAACTAAACTCGGAAACCGTAAGTACCAAGACAACATTACTCTTCAAGATCAAACTGGAAAAAATCTGCATGAATAATGGGATAACTTTTTACAGGCCAATCAGCTTATAATTTCTGTCCCCGTCAAGGACTCTATAGATAAGTGAGATAGTGCCAGTTTAAGCAGGGCATTCGAGTTTGTGATTTGATAAATTATTGGAATGCGCCTTTGTGATGTTAGGGAACCTATTTAGTTTCCCGTTTCCGGGGACAGAAAACTCATTAATTTAGACTTATCGAAGTTGCTATATATATATATATATATATATATATATATATATATATATATATAGGGGTCCAGGCCAACTATAGTGACCTTCTCCCCAGGATGTAACTCACAACAGTTGCCTAACTCCAGGTACCTATATACCTTGCTGGGTGAAATGTGGCATCAGATGAAAGGAAACTTTAGACAAATGTCGCTTTATTTTCCAACCGTGTTGATGTTTGTAATTAATATTTGTAAAGACATTTTCCTCAACATTCATGGAAAACATTACAACAGAAACAGAGATTATCACAAACCTTTTTTTGTATCCGGAGTCAGTGGCGTGACCGCTCGCTTCCTCTCTTGCTTTTTTTTTTTTTTTATTGTATTTTTATTTTTACTTTGTATTTTTTTACATTGTGTACGCACCCAACCTCCGAATAGCTGGATGAGGTCTTCGAACAGTGATTGTTATATGTGTGTGTGTGTGTGTGTGTGTGTGTGTGTGTGTGTGTGTGTGTGTGTGTGTGTGTGTGTGTGTGTGTGTGTGTGTGTGTGTGTGTGTGTGTTTTGTAAACATTAGTTATTTATATTAACTATATAATTTCGGGGACATTAAAGCCCCGAAATCATCTCAAGATAACCTCAAGATATATATATATATATATATATATATATATATATATATATATATATATATATATATATATATATATATATATATATATATATATATATATATATATATATATAATCGAGCCTTGCATAGTAGGCCAAAAAGTGCATTCTGGCTACTAGGTACGACATATATATATATATATATATATATATATATATATATATATATATATATATATATATATATATATATATATGTGGCCGGGTACTTCTAGTATTATAATATTTATTTATATGTGAGAATAATTCCAGTTTGAATGAACAGGATGTACAAATTTATGAATGCGTCTGTGGGGTCGACCTCTGGATGGAATGGACTTGAGTCGAGGACGTGTTGCTGTAAATGCTTCACCCACGAACAACAAATACAAATAATCGCCATTAGAACCTAAACACCTAACCTAACCTAACCAATGTCTAAATATGCACAGTATGCTAATATATAACAATATTAGTTTTTAATTGAGAAAATTCATATTTTGAATGAACAAATTGTTAAATTTGATGAATGTGTCTTTGGGGTCAACCGCTGGATGAAATGGACTTGGTAGGAGGACGGGTGGCGTGAGTCTTTGGTAAACCAATTTCCATACCGTAACCGTAAAGGGGGGTTTGGCGGGTGCATGGAATGGACTCGCCATTCCATGCCTTTGTTTATGAGGAGGAGCTGAATATTTAGCGTTTGTTCACGGAACGTGAGGTGTTCGAGTAGGGAATGTGTACAAAGCACTGTTCGAGAAAACTTCGAACGTCATTGAGTAGTGTAATCAAAGTTTTTTCATTCCTAAACAGGTGGTTTAAGAGGACGGGCTGCCAGGCTTCGGACACTGGAACACGTCAACACAGATAACTCTGGCTCCAGCATCTGGACGACGGCAGTATAACTAACTTTCCAGTGACAAATTAGCATGATGGGTCCCATTGGCAAATTTTCTGAGGAATTCTGGGTAAGTTGAGAGAGAGAGAGAGAGAGAGAGAGAGAGAGAGAGAGAGAGAGAGAGAGAGAGAGAGAGAGAGAGAGAGAG